CTGAACCCTATAGAAAATGAGTGTGGTGAACTGAAGAGGAGAAGCACCATCATGGAGCTGGGAATCTGAAGGGTCTGGAGAGATTCTGGATGAAGGAATTGTCTCTGATCTCTTGTCAGGTGCTCTCTAACCTCATCAGGCATTATAGGAGAAAACTCAGAGCTGTTATTATGCCAAATGGAGGTTTCAAAAAACATTGAATGAAAGGGTGCCGTTAATCGTGTCCAATGTGTATTAGAGAAAAACATTTATGTCATAATGATATTTCCCCCAATTTCTTCAATTCTTATTCTCCAATGAAAGGTTAGATTTATGTGGATTTTTTAAATAAAAGATCAAAATGATTAACAATGCAGATTTATTTTCACAGCCTTCTTTGATCATATTTACCAAGGGTGCCAATAATTCTGACCACGACTGTATATATATATATGTATGTATATGTGCTATACAATAATGCAAAGAGACACTGCTACTGAGCTTGCTGTACAGTCAAACAAAACTAAATATAACACTCTTCACATTTCCGATAAGAGTATCGTTTTTGTTTGTATTAGCATGTCTGCTCTTGCCAGATCTTGGAGCACTCTAATAGCACCACACCACTGATACAAACAGGATATTCTTCATGTACAAATCTAAAAGGAAGGGCATGTTACAAAAGAGAGATAAAGGCACAATGTTTCACCTGAACATTTTTCTATACGATTTGTGCAAGTCTAAAGAATGACACATTTTCATAGTTAAAAATCCACAAGTCCACAACAAAAAGTTAGACCAGACAACCAACAGCTTTAGTTGTTGTGCTAGACATTTGGGATAGAAGCACAACCATCAATACCCAATATACTCACACAACATACTTTAATAAATACATTTTCCTTATCTGGTCAAAAATAAATAAAAATAAATAAAAGGATATATTCAAAGCTATATAAAACAAAAAATATTGTATTACTTTTTACAAGAAAATACCATTTCAGTCTTTCTACTACAGAATTTCACATGTAATTAATGCATTACTTGCCATGTCCTATATCAGTCCACCCAGTCCTCTTATTTGACCACAGTTCAGACTTGAATCAGCCTTTCAAATCGTGCCTTTTGTGCTCAGGGTACTTACAGAGCCATTTGGCTAATTCTCCAGAACTGTTTTACACTTCAATTGTCTTAACCTATTCAAATCCAATGGCAAAAGGTGGAGAGAAGTGATTCAGGAGAATGTGAGGTGTTGTTTAATGCTCAAACATAGGTGGTAACAGTGTCATGCTAATCCATGCTGATGTCCTCATTTAGTTCTCCATCACAGTTACATCTAAAATGTGTAGTTTTCTACAATGAATCTATATGGCCACACATTGCATGGAACTGGCTTGAACTGCCCAAGTGCCTATACTAAGATTTCAGCTAAATAAACTAGCCTATCCTTTATTTATTTATTTATTTTTTAAATTGCATTGGCACATTTACATGTATGTGTGTGTTTATGATAGTAACACTGGCACAAATTCTGCTGAGAATAGCAACAACAGCAGCTAACAATGTCTACAAGTTCTGTTGTTTATTGTGCTATAATAATGAATAATGAACTTTGTTTATATATTAAGGATTAGAAGAAAATGAATGCTTGTTGATATATCAGTTTTAAGAATGCTTCCGTGAACTATGCAATGCATTATCTTCTGTTGTAATACTTTCTAATATCCAGTGGTACTCAGTGAACAAAAATGTTGTTGATCGTGTATGTTTACCAACGTCACCAAATTTGCCCACACGTAAAAAAAATATATATAATAATAATTCTCGGTGGGAAAATGGGGTTACGTAAAAAATATATTTTTGTTTTTTATTCAAGCACTAAACCTTAGTAACACGAAGAACATTCATAAGAAACATATATATAATAATAATTCTCGGTGGGAAAATGGGGTTACGTAAAAATATATATTTTTGTTTTTTATTCAAGCACTAAACCTTAGTAACACGAAGAACATTCATAAGAAACGTTATACTTGATGAGAACTGAGAATCTACAAAAACCATGTGACTTTAATACAGCTTAAGGCATATAACAGACAAAGTGGGTGAAAGTAATTGAAAAATAGCCATGGGATGGTTTTAACACACACTTTAACGTATGAGGAGGTGTGAGGTGCAAGGCGTCTTCAAACTCGCATCTACAGACTTCAGCTTTTGTCCATATGGCGCTACATTGTTTGAATCACTACAGACTTTACCGCAAAACCTGAATGTGATTTTGTTTGGCAGGGAGATCATCCCTCAAACACTTTCACTCAGTGTGTGTGTGTGTGTGTAACCTATTCATATTTGTTTCAGACAGACGTTTAAAATAAGAATAAAACTGAGGTGCATTTCCCCGATTCAAAGACTTACCGCTCATTATTTTAAATCCCCAGTTCAACCAATAGCTGACGAGATCAGTGGCGTCGTCAACTGGATCTAAATACAGCTTAAGGCATATAACAGACAAAGTGGGTGAAAGTAATTGAAAAATAGCCATGGGATGGTTTTAACACACACTTTAACGTATGAGGAGGTGTGAGGTGCAAGGCGTCTTCAAACTCACATCTACAGACTTCAGCTTTTGTCCATATGGCGCTACATTGTTTGAATCACTACAGACTTTACCACAAAACCTGAATGTGATTTTGTTTGGCAGGGAGATCATCCCTCAAACACTTTCACTCAGTGTGTGTGTGTGTGTAACCTATTCATATTTGTTTCAGACAGACGTTTAAAATAAGAATAAAACTGAGGTGCATTTCCCCGATTCAAAGACTTACCGCTCATTATTTTAAATCCCCAGTTCAACCAATAGCTGACGAGATCAGTGGCGTCGTCAACTGGATCTAATTTCCACGAAGAAACTTGACTGCGGTCATAAACAGCCAATAGGACTTCAATACCGCTCCTAGAAAGTTGGCGATTCAAATTTGAACTTGTCCCAACCAATCAGACGAGAGCTCAGAGGGTGGAGTCTATGGGCATTTAATCAAGTTTGTGCGCCCTGCAGCACAGCAACAAAACAGTTTACAAGAAGACTAGACTCAGGTTACGTACGTTTTGTCGAGCATTTGAGGCTGATTATAGGTAAGCATGTCTTGGTTTATCTAGCAAATGTTTTTAGATTTTTTTTTTAAATCGAGCATTTATCGAGCGAGTCTAGGAAAAATAGTTTCATGGTCGTGATTATTTATTGTACGAATTAAGTATTTTATACGAAACTTAAGACTTTACTATTGTTTTAGTTCAAATTAAGTGAAGTGGTGTTTATGGAAATGTTCTCGTCTTAGCTGTAACTGTTAGCTTTGTTAATGTAGTGGAGACGTAGCGTTAGATTTTCCAGGATTTTAGCAGCTTAGTGATCTTGTGCAGTTAAGAGCGCGAGCAGCCATGACTGGCTGGGAGTTTGAGGTCGTAATGGAGACTCAGCGTCTGTGTCCTGAGCCTGAAGCAGCTAAAAGTCCTCCGAAGTAGTGTCTTGCTAATTTGGTGGGTTTATTTTCGTTTTAACGCGTAGAATCTGAAACCATTTGCTCTCGACAGACATTCTAGTGCATATTTCCTGCAGTTTAGGCGGGATAACAAAATGGAGGGACGCTTATTGTTCTAGTTGAGTGATCTGATGGAAACGAAGCAGGAACTTGATCGGATTAACTTGCGTTTAGTGAGCGACCATTTCACTGTTGCTTACAAAGCGACACTCGAACGGGGGTTTGACTAACAATACATGCTGCTGCTTTTATTGCTTTTTTAAAAAAACGGTTTTTGGTGTTTTGATCACTTTTTTAGCATATCACAGCCATGGGTAAAGATCCTAGTAAGCCCAGAGGAAAGACGTCCTCTTACGCGTTTTTTGTGCAAACCTGCCGGGAGGAACATAAGAAGAAAAACCCAGGGACTTCGGTGAACTTTACAGAGTTTTCCAAGAAGTGCTCTGAAAGATGGAAGGTGAGTTTAACAGTAGGGCTGCAATGTTTTTCCGGGGGGTGGTGGTTGTTGTTAGGTAGGGGGTGGGGCAGAATTACACGATGCATCTGTTACTCAAGTGACTGAGGCAAATGTAGTGCGGGAGGATAAAGAGCCACACACTGCGTCTGGCAGAACCTAATCATAGTGTCATGTTTCTCAGACTATGTCCTCAAAGGAGAAGGGCAAGTTTGAGGAAATGGCCAAAAATGACAAGGTCCGCTATGACCGGGAGATGAAAAACTTTGTGCCTCCTAAAGGTGCAAAGGGAGGGAAAAAGAAGGATCCAAATGCTCCGAAGAGGCCACCGTGAGTAGTGCACAAATAGACCCATGAGATTTTCTTTTGTTTTGACTTGAGTATAATTTTATTTTTCTCCTCTATCATCAGATCTGCGTTCTTTGTCTTCTGCTCTGACCATCGCCCAAAGGTGAGGAGTGACAACCCTGGCGCATCTATTGGTGACATTGCAAAGAAGCTCGGCGAGATGTGGTCCAAGATTTCACCAAAGGAAAAGACTCCATATGAGCAGAAGGCCATGAAGCTCAAGGAGAAGTATGAAAAGGTAACGGTTGGCCCAATTCTAGGTACTTTCAAAAACCACTTGATGTTTTGCTGGTATTAACAAATAATTTCCAACCAGGATGTTGCTGCATATCGCTCCAAAGAAGGAAAAGCAGATGGTGGCAAGAAGGGTGGACCTGGCCGGCCTGCAGGAAAGAAGGCCGAAGCTGATGATGAGGATGAGGATGATGATGATGAGGAAGAGGAGGATGTAGAAGATGATGATGATGATGATGACGACGATGATGACGATTAAGCTATCAGGAAAACTTATGCCGAGTTGTTTGCAAAACAATGTGAATGCATTTTTTAGCATTTAAAGTTTTTCAATACATGTACAGAAATGTGTGTAATTTAATACATATTGAGGTCATGTGCTGTTTTGTAAATGTAACAGCATTTTTTTTTAGCACTGCTTTTTGTCTTGATAGCTGTGGTTGCTTTGGTTTCTTTTCCCTGTTCGTTATGATCTACTACTGCCATTTTAAGACAAATAAGGAACAATTTGTGTAGTGTCAATTTTTAAAACAAGCTTTAAAGTTGTGTAGACAATCTTTTTTTTTTTTTTTTTTTTTTGTATATTGACCAATTCCCCTTTTCACTGTGCAATTTTGACTTATTAAATAATTTTGCAGAATTTCGGTGTTGTCAGACCATGTTTAAGTTCATAGCAGCTAGTGCTGCTTAGTTGAATAACTAAGATTATTGAAATATAAAAGTTACTAATGGACTAGGCAAACTTTTTAACCTTTTAGTTTGTTCAGTTCTGCTTTAGTTTTAGAACTCTTAAAGTTGTTCTGTTTGTACTCCTAGTTTTACAACCAGGTGCAACTACATTAAAAGCAGAGTATTGTACTTCTAATAGACTTTGAACCATTTTTTCTTTTTCCAATTAGGTTTAGTTTCTTGTTGTGAGGTGGCCATAAGAACTATGGGGGTGTAATTGCCATCTTAAACCAAGGTTTTTTTTGGGGGGGGTTAGCCATTTGGTTGACCTATTGAAAAGGCAAATACTAATTTCTCAAATGAATGACTTGATCTTAAAAATAAGAGGCGTAAATGCACATGCAACCTCATCTATAATCTGAGTTAGATTTGAGTACATGATTTATGTTCGGCTTTTGCTTGGCCAAGTGACAAGTGGTCCTATATACAGGTTGGGTATATTGTTATATGCAGTCACAATAAGGTGTGCCGTGTATCATACACATGACATCTGCTCACTTGCATCCAACAGACTGCTGCACAGCTGATGCTTTTCCTGCACGCGCTCAGTCTACTGCCTTGAACAACCTAAGCAGCACACAGTCTATTGTAATTATTCAAATGCTTGGGATCATCTCCATTTTTTTTAGTAGGCACTTTCCAAGAATGGAGTACAAAATAGCATGACATTTTTCTCAATAAAGGGAGGTGGTTCTTTATGTCAGCAACTCTGAAAACCAAACGTTGACCTAATTATAACCTGTTTAGCTTCTTAAAATTTGAGATATGCAACTCTTTTGGACACAATTTGGAACAACTCTGTAGTTCAGAAACGATGGCATGGCTTCAGTATTAAACATGCTTAAATGGCCTACTTTTCATGGTTCCATATTAAATTTAATTAACATAATTTTGCTACAGAAAAGATGTAATTTATGCTTCTTAAAAAAACGGCAACCAATGGGATACCCTATTTATGGAAAGTGCCAACAACATTCTCAACAGCCTACAAAAATGTAATCCTCATGATCATCTAAATGGTTGAAATATTTAACCTGCTACAAACAGACTTTCATACAGCAGCAGACTAGTAAAAATTTTCCATTTATTTTCTTGAGAAAACAACCATTATAAGTTAGATATTTACACCTTCATTGGGAAGGCCAGCATATCTCAAAAGGTTAATTTAGAAATAATCATATTTACATTGTACAAAAACAAAAATTTACACATTGCAATCATTCTTGCTCTTAAAACATAACTTTGCTCCATTTGCTCGAGATGATTTTTGGCCATGAATAGTATAATCAAACGTTGATTTTCACATACAAATACACATCTATTCCCCCAACCAATCAAACTTTTTAATGCAGTAGACAAAAATAAATGTATCATTTTTTTTCCCCCTCATTGTTGACCTTATATCCCCATTTCTCTCCACTCCCATTCTTTACCCATAGTATATGGCAAAAAATAAAATGTGCCATTGTGCCAAAGACCAAAATAGTTCAAGTTGCAGGTTGTCATCTCAAACATAATGAAGGTCCAGTATTAAAAAAATATGCATCCCAGTACTTGATGGACAACCTGTATTTTATAATGGAGCAGCAACAAAAGTGGTATTAGATAATTCATCTCAGCACACATTGTGCACATTCTGTGAAAGGGAAAAACATTCTGTTAGGTAGACCCCTCCAATCCACAGATTCCAAAGAAAAACCCATGCGATGGACACTGGGGATGAACCGATGTAAACATTGTCTTCAATGGAGAAAAAAAGTTTATGTTTATGATCAGAGTTCAGTTATTCAGGTGATGACTAAAACCTAATTAGTCACATTTATACTGGTAAAACCTGTTGCTGTAGTCAGTGTTTATCCTTGAAGCACATTTGAGCCTGGCTCTCAAACTGCCACAATGTTGTTCATCTCCCACTTCTGCGAGCTCTTGCTGTTGTCACAGTCAGCTATATAAACTTTGTGCAAGACGTCAGAGCGATCCAAGCATTTCCCTGTAGGTATATGTGTGAATCGATGTAGATCCTAAAAAATCAGAAGCATTGGAAAAGTTCAATCAAGAATCAATACAGCAAGGTACAAGAGTAAAGTTTGCCAACAACCTAACAAAACACTATTTGTACAGTATTTATTACTAGGTTTTAATCTAGTTTACATATACTATGGTTCATTGTTATTACATGTTTGTTAACAACCGATTAACTAAAGAATATTATGTTTTTATATTTTACTATTGTTCAAAGGTTTGGGGACAATATTTTTTTGAAGATATTAATACTTTTATTCATTAAGGTACACTAACTTTTTTGTTAAAAATATTTTAAAAAATGATATAATGAGCAAGTACATCATGAACCCATCTTCCAAACAGTGTTTTTGTCTACTCCTTAATCACTACGGTACACCTGTAATTTAATATTAGGACGACTTTAGACCTGTCAGGACAACAACCGCTGCAGAGTCGGCCAGTAGCTACATGACAAACAGGGAGAAGTAACACCGTCTACAATGTTCTTCCGCAAGACGAGTGCAGTTTTGTTTATTAACCGCTAGAGCGCCAAAAGTTACACAGTGTACCTTTAAGGACTCGTTAAATTAATCAAATTACTGTTAAGACTTTCACATTGTAAAAAAAAAAAATCTATTTCAAATAAATACTGTTATTTTGAACTTTCCATTCACCAAAAAAATAAAAGTATGGTTTTCAGAAAAATATTACACTTGATGATGATGATGATGATACGAAATGTTTCCTGAGCAGCAAATCAGCATAGAATGATTTCTGAAGAATCATATGACATTGAAAACTAGAGCAATGGCTGCTAAAAAAAACAGCTCTGCCATCATAGGAATAAATTGCATGTTAAAATATATTCAAATAGAAAACAGTTATTTTATTTACAACAATATTTGACAATATTGTTGTTTTTACTGAATTTTTCATCAAATAAATAAAGCCTTGGTGAGAATAAGATGTTCTTTCAAAAACATTGAATAAAATCTTAACTTACAAAAAACTTCTGAATTATGGTGTAGCCTATATATTAATTTCTGCAGATAATACATTTTTAACGATCAACCAAGATTAATGTAGAAGCATTTTTACTGTTATTTATTCCAAGCAATTATAAACTAGTGTTAGACTACTGAAACATATTGTAAAGTGTCATATACAGCTTAATTTGTGTATAGGATTTGACTAAAAAAATTATTATTCCAAATGTTTTGATGTAAATAAAATTATTTATTTGTTGTAAAAATAGAATTTTTTTTGACTTAGAAACCAAGGCCAAAGATGGCTCAATACCTCCTGTGACATACCTTAAAATATCTCCACTCCGTGTGCTCGTTTAGGTTGCAGTGTGTTATGATGACAGCAGTTCCGTCTCCCCCCTTTGTCAGGCACTGGTCATACTGCATGAGCTGGTTTGCTTCATTAATTCTAAAGAGCTAGAGTAAGGCATAAGCAAAATCAAATGAGCGGGAGAGAAGAAAAATAAAAAGCTTGCCATGCAAACTGTAAAAAGTAAAGTACTGCTGCTAAATCGTTTTCCTTTACCTGATTTCCACCCATTCTATGACAAGGCCCAATTTCGACATTGCCACCATTGGTGTGGCCCATGCTGTCGATGCAGTAGCTGGTCTCAAACCCACGGATCTATTGAAAGAGAAAATGATGACAAATGCCAATATCTTTAAACCAGTTTCAACTGTGTTTTTCTTTGCATTGATTATACAAGCACCTCTCCCCATTCCACATTCTTTGGAGGCAGTGGGTAATGCAGAGGGATGTCATAGGCAATCTCTTCCATGAACCACTTGAAGCTCTTGCAGCGATGTTCCTCTCTGAACTTTTTCAAGCTGCTGGTGTCTCCGTAGGCCAGCGTCAGTGTCTCAGGTCGACTTGCGTAGAAATAGTCTTTATACTCATCCCACCACACCTCCACCACCCGCACATAGTTCTACACGCAGCCAAAGAGGAGAGTGGAGACTGGATTTAAAGTGTAAAGTATAGCTGTGAACCAGCTTTGTTTTCAGATTCAGAGAAGCAGGTTTATAAAAAAAAAAAAAAAAAAAGGGGAACTTCCGACTTTGCTATGACAATCTTGCATGTTCTATACTGTCTAATGTACCTCATGAGCACCATGGCAATATGGTAAGGTATGGTATATAACATGCAGAGGCAAAACTTCCAGCTTTCTGCCTGCACATATTAATTATAGCTTGCTACTCAGTTGTAAAATAATGTTATTGGCATGTTACTCACACCAACATCATTACTAAAGCAACCAGTGTAGAAATACAAGACATTAATTATACCAGAGCAAGTGGATCCAATTTGGCAGACAGTCCACCCTAAAGATTGCATTTGAAAAACAAATCGAAACTGTGTGTGGCATCAACAAAGTTTTTACTGACCTTTATTACTAAATGCATGAAACATTCTGAGCTGATACGCCCTTTATTGATTCTTATCGGCTAAGTCTGCAGCACTGCATTCATTCATAGTTCCCCTGTGAGCAATCTCTTAAAGAGTAATGATCTCTATTCAGTAACAGTCTTCTTGCCCCATATTAATGAACAAGTGCCCAGCATTAGTCTTCAGGCAGACCACCTACAGGTTGAGGCAACGATATGTCTCTTTCACTTAGAAGTGCAGAATAGACTCTCTAGAGAGGGGTATCAAAACTAAAACCATTCCTCACTTTCTTAAACCTGAAAAACCAGTAACTGCTAAAAGACAGTGATACACATAAATCACAGAGTATTTAGAAAACCGAGGACCACCAAAAAGCAAAAAAAAAAAATGCTGTAGTCATATTTCGGAGAATTTCATCAAAAATATCTTAATTTGTGTTCAGAAAATGAACGAAGGTCTTACGGGTTTGGAACAACATAAGGGTGAGTAAATAATGACAGAATTTTCTTTTTGTGTGTGAATGAACCCTTTAAGCCTTTCCATGTATTTTAGACCACAGCTTCTCTACATTAAAATTATGAGCTAACTGCACAATATAAATCAGTTATATTAAAGTCAGCATGAAAATAAATAAATAAATAAATAATAGTAATAATATTAATTATTATTATGAATAATATTAATCTAAATGCATGTTATTGATTTTATTGTGAACAATTCATCTGTGCAAACATTTTTTTTAACCCTATAATTCTTAATAAAAATGTCAACATTCAGTCTTTCGGTAAAACAACAAACTTCTCTATGGTGATGTGTGCCTGATTTCTCCAACTATTTACTTTGCCTAAGCCCCACCCCTTTTTTACAATCGACCCTAAACTCATATTCAGTTGATTTGCCTCCATCCGATCAACAACCGACAGATAGAACCAAGTTCCTGCCCTAGATTTTTTTTTATTAATCCGTTTCACAATATGGAAGAAAACATCTATCTTACATTTCGTCACAACTTTAATTCAAAGAGAATCAGCATCATTATTGCCGGTTTACTCGGCTGTTGCAACATAATACAATGTGTAAGGAACGTAAACAACAGCAACACTACTTCCAGTTACTGAAATATCTATACCGATTTGAAAGCAGCTGAGCTACTCCCCGACACAAGTGAAGTCATTTATGTCTCCTTTGTGATTATTAAGAAACACTGGCATCACTGCACCTCTCTTTTCCATGTTTACATTGTAAATATGACTTCAGTGTTGTTGTTTTTTTCTTTTCAATTTTGCACAAAATAAGGCCAGTATATGTACTAACTTTAAAACAGTGACAAGCACAGAGTACACACATGCTATGTAGAGTGTTTGATGAAGAAATGAAAACAATCTTCACACTACCTTTGTTACTAAAGTCATCAATCATGACAATCTCAGCCAGGTATTTCCTTGGGGTTCTTTTGATGACGCTGTGCACCGTCCTCATCAGGGTGGACCAGCCCTCATTATGGAAGACAATGATCACGCTGGAGGTGAGGAGGTTTTCATCATAGTGCCAGTATTTACACCTAGAGACAAATATACATAGTTATAAAGCACACTATTTTGGAAGTGAATGTTGTTGATCTCATGGTGTGCACTTGCACACACAGTATAGCATGCATTAGTGGTAGATTCTTACACACTTGCATCCACCTCCATCCTGTGGAAGCAATTTGTGAGACAGGAAACAGCAACTTTGCACACTGCTTCCTCTGTATAAAGGGAGAGCAATGCCCAAACACACTTCCTCATTCTCTTTCTAAGCTCGAAGTTAAAGTTTCTTTATCCAGTTTCATTCACTTTCAGTAGATAACTGACAGTTGTGTGTGGGACTGGAGGAGAAATGCTGTTTAAACTAGAGTTTGAATTGCACAAACGCAATCTTAATTTTTAAAGAGTTATTGTAGAAATATAGAGGTAGTTGGAAAAAGATTACATTTCAGGTCTACTTGAGATATGAAATTGAAGAATAAGCACAAAAAAGCATAATAATGAAAACTATTTTGGCTTTGTTTGTAGACTCCACGTGGGTTATTTGCACTAGGGTTTAGTTTATGTACAAATTCTTATATAGTGCAAACAGAAGCTTGAGCAGCTTACAAAACAGAACATATACATATATATGAGGAAACTCTTGATGCCTAAAGTAAATAGGACATAGATCTGCCTAAGCCAAGCATACGCATGTAATATAGGCTTGATTAAACTCATTAACAAACACATTTCCTTCCCAAACCCCAAAAAAAGATATTGTTTCCTGTCTGCAACATACTGTAAGCAATACTTTTTTTCTTATGGCAGTTTAGTCTCTTTTAACATCAGATTTAAGTGCCATGTAACAAGTCATAAGGCCTAACTTGTCTTACATAGCACAGCAAAGCCACTCAACTGGAAGAGCAACTCACTCCCATGACATTCAGTCTCAATGGAGATCGGGGTGTGCTGCACTACTCACTACTGTCACCATTAAATGCTAATGCTAATTGTTCATTGAAACTACAGCGATGGATGCTATTTAGTTACATGTTTTAGCTAATTTTAGCACTGACTCTCTGAGGTAATGTTCAGTCGTGATGTCAATTTGTAGGCCAACTCTAATTTATCATGTGCTCCCTAGAGATTTTCTATCGTGTTATCTGAATACCAGTTTTTGATTGGAGTGTAAAATATGGTCTTGAGATTACTCGAAGAGACTTTAATGTTTTGTTCTAGAATATAATAAAAAAATGTGAGTTTTAAATACTTAAGCTGCTAAGAAGTTACTATAGAAGAACTACAAATGTTGTCAGAATCAAGAAGCACAAAAAGCCACATCCTTGTAGTGGTTGAAGTCTTTATTTAGCAAGCTGGCTTTGAAACTCAAAACAAGGGTTAGAGTTAGGGTCTCTTCATGTAACGTTAAACGCACTGACCTTATTTTACTCAAATCAAAAAAACAAATCCATTTAAAAGTAGCAGTATATTCTGACCTTTTCTTTAAAGGCTAGAATATGTTATATATGTGACTGATTAATTGGAGGGCTTTAAATGCATGAAACAGAAGGATGTATAATTTCATGGCTGTTTCCCTTCATGACGCAATGAACGATGTCGTTTTCACGAGGCTGAAGTGACTGCCTCAAAAAACACGTTTGCGCCAACAAATAAAGATATCAGATTTAAAATGACAAAATGATTCGCTGTTAACATGCTTCAGCCTGTTTGTCTCATGAGAAAGGCACGAGTAAATTATAAACGGAAGCAAAATCTCACTTCAGAGAAAACACTGACATCTTCAGACAAAAGTTGGTATCACTGTGTACACTCACCAACAATTCAGTATCTCAAAAGAAAAATACAACCAATGCAAATGCTCTAATGTAATCATGTTATGGTTTAAATCAGCATAATTAAGTCTGAGAGAGATACATATATATATAACACACCTGATCATTTTGAAAGGGTCATTTACCAACCAATAATGACAATGCCAAAAGATCAGTGCAGGTTGTTCTGTTCCCAGTAACATTTACCTTTACACCTTGCCTGTACCAAAGAACAGCAGTGTACATTGTTTCAGCCCTGACTTGGATCCAGACACTATCCAGATTTCTCTGCTAAAAAAGGGTTTGATTTCCCCAGGAGGAAGTGAGTTTCAGCAAGCTAGCATGTGCATTTTTTAAAGACATCCTGGCATTGAGTCAAAACATGTAGCAGTGATATTACAACACAGCTGAATGAATAAGCATGACTGAGTTGAACTGAATTGAATGACCCCGATGTATTTATTTGTTTGATATAACATTTTCTGAATGTATATAAATTCAAGAAAGTATGCTGGTCAAGTTCAATACAATTTTCATGAAAAGTATAGTTCACCCAAAAAAAGAATATTCTGTCATTATTTACTCGGCCTCATGTCATTCTAAAACGGTATGATTGTGTAACATAAAAGAAGATATTTTGAAGTATGCTGGTAAAATGACAGTGTATTGTGTGACACGGGTGTCTTTTTCAGGTGAACTATCCCTTTAAAACCCATCTTTCAGGCTCTCTGCAAAAGGAGTGGCACTGACTACAATGCCATAAAACTGCAGTAATGATTAAACTGCTGATGCTGCATGTTGTGTTGACTATCAACTCAATGTATAACAAATGTGAGGTGCGACCATTTTATAATTATGTCAGAAAATAAATCCTATTAAACAATGAGTTTGTGTGCAAACTGGACGACCTACAGGGGTCAGATATGATAGACCTGTTGTTAAAGTCTCAGGTCACTTCTGAAGCTGTATAAATTTATAAAGCAGTCTCAGGCAGATAATCCAGCTTTCCAGCTTGAGGGGAGTTAATGAGAGAGACTGCAGCTTATCATTCAGCTGTGACGTGGCCAAACAACATTTTGGTGGCTGAATTATGGGCATAATGCCAATCCTATTTAACGTCTTGAACATTAGTAATAGAGTGCAGCACATTATCTTTTGAGTACTAACTGTCCTCTGAGTGAAAAGTGTATAAGAGGTACAAACATTAATGTACTGCAACACAGTACACTTTTTCTATCAGAAGGTACTTCCAAGCTACTTCCACGTCCCATGGTGTTACGTCATGAAAACTATGATTTTGTGATGCTATCATGAGCAAAATGAATAGGTATTTTTTGTTAGTGGGAACTGAAAAAAAAAATAAAAAGAGAGAAATGACGTGGCTAAAGAAGCAGGTAGTTCGTCATCTACTATGCCACTGAAATAGCTTGTTTGAAAAAGGTGTGTACTTATGGTTTTCATCTTTCTGGGTGTGATCACAAAAATAACTTGGAAAGCCAACATGTCAGACCTGACTGTCTATAGCAGGGTTCCTAAAATCTTGCCCTGGAGGGCCAATGCGCTGCAGAGTTCAGCTCCAACCCTGATCAAACTCAGCTACCTGTGATTTTCTAACGATCCTGAAGACATTGATTAGCTTGCTCAGGTGTGTTTGATTAGGGTTAGAGCTAAACTCTGCAGGAAAGTGGATCTCGTGGGCCAGATTTGAGGATACCTGGTCTATAGTGTGTGTGGCCTGAGCATCTTAAAAAACTTGAGTACATTTTTTTTTTTCTTTAATAAAAACTGTAGTCAAACACATGCTAAAACAAGAGAGGATCATCCGCAGGGGCTTCGCTAGTGGGGGGAAAAGGGTGACAGAGTGCATAGGGCCCAGAGTTCTGAGGAGGCCCGCGATCACCTACTTGCCATCGGGAGCACCGGGACATTCCAATCAATTAGTGGGCCGAATCCGATCGCCGAAACGAGGAAGAACTCCCCGATATTAGGCACTGTTTTTACATTACAGTGCATGCGAAACCGCATAAAGCAAATACTCCAAAAGTGTGAAGCAGCGCTACCCGATGCATCTGCGCATCAAAGCAGAGCGAGATCAGTCACCCGCACAGCACTGATGAACTTGAAGTTATTAACACTTTACAAATAGCCTATGTGTTGGCAGAAATGTATTATAAATGTTACTGTTATTACATATTGGGGAATATTTTTAATTTTATAAAAGATGTTTTGTAGTTTCTTCATGTTTAGTTTTTTTTTAACGACAGATTTTATAGTTTATTATTACTTATTTATTTTAAAAACCATATAACCATTGTAATGAGGACCAAAGGGAGATTCACCCAAAAATGAAAATTGTCATTTACTCAACATCATGCCATTCCAAACCTGTATGAATTTCTTTCTTCTGTATTTTTGTCCATACAGTAGAAATCAAGGGTAACCAAAAATGGTTTGGTAACATTCTACAAAATCTTCTTTTGTGTTCAACA